AGGTGTATTTTGGCTGTCCCCAGGTGTATTTCAGGTGTCCCCAGGTGTGTTTCAGGTGTCCCCAGGTGTATTTTGAGTGTCCCCAGGTGTATTTCAGGTACCCCCAGGTGTATTTTGAGTGTCCCAGGTGTATTTCAGGTACCCCCAGGTGTATTTTGGCTGTCCCCAGGTGTATTTCAGGTGTCCCCAGGTGTGTTTCAGGTGTCCCCAGGTGTATTTTGAGTGTCCCCAGGTGTATTTCAGGTACCCCCAGGTGTATTTTGAGTGTCCCAGGTGTATTTCAGGTACCCCCAGGTGTATTTTGGCTGTCCCCAGGTGTATTTCAGGTGTCCCCAGGTGTGTTTCAGGTGTCCCCAGGTGTATTTTGAGTGTCCCCAGGTGTATTTCAGGTACCCCCAGGTGTATTTTGAGTGTCCCAGGTGTATTTCAGGTACCCCCAGGTGTATTTTGGCTGTCCCAGGTGTATTTCAGGTACCCCCAGGTGTGTTTCAGGTGTCCCCAGGTGTATTTTGAGTGTCCCCAGGTGTATTTCAGGCACCCCCAGGTGTATTTTGGCTGTCCCAGGTGTGCTCACACCCCACCTCTCCCCTCCCCCAGCCCCAGGTAACCCCGGAGTCGTCGCTGGAGCCGAAACCCCCGGCCCAGGTGGGGGATGGGCAGGTGAGTGACACCCCCAGGTGTGCGGGGGGAGGACAGGTAACCCCACACCTGGATTTGGGGGAGGACAGGTAACCCCACACCTGGAATTTGGGGTTCCCCAGGTGTCCCCCTCACCTGAGCCGCGTTTCCCCCTCACCTGCAGCTCACCTGGAGACGGAGCCGCCGGCACAGCCCCCACTTCCCGCTCTGCTCCTTCTGCTGCAACTGCTGCCGCAACCGCGGCTGCGGCTTCTGCTGCCGCACCTGAGCGCACCTGGGCACACCTGGGAACACCTGGAGAACACCTGGGGGCACCTGGGAACACCTGGGATACACCTGGGGAACACCTGGGTACACCTGAACCTCACCTGAGCGCACCTGGGGGCACCTGGGCACACCTGGGAACACCTGGGGGCACCTGGGATACACCTGGGGAACACCTGAACCTCACCTGGGCACAGCTGGGAACACCTGGGAACACGTGAACCTCACCTGGGAACACCTGAGCGCATCTGGGATACACCTGAGATACACCTGAACCTCATCTGAGCACAGCTGGGGGCACCTGGGCACACCTGAGCACACCTGAGCATCACCTGAGCACAGCTGAGCATCACCTGAGCACACCTGGGCATACCTGGGAACAGCTGAACCTCACCTGGGCACAGCTGGGGGCACCTGAGCATCACCTGAGCACACCTGAGCCTCACCTGGGCACACCTGAGCCTCACCTGAGCACAGCTGGGCACACCTGGAGAACACCTGGGCACACCTGAGCACAGCTGGAGAACACCTGAGCTTCACCTGAGCCCCCCAGGCACACCTGAGCCTCACCTGAGCCTCACCTGAGCCCCCCCCCCCCATTTTTTACCTGGC